CTTCCCCGATGAGGGCCTCGACTTTCCGGGAAATCTCTCAAGGAAAAACCCCATTGCCCACTGGGAGCATAGTTGCCATTCCCCAGAAGTAGAATATGACATGTGACAACCACCCCCCAGACTTCTTTCCCCATCCTCAACTTCCTAGAGGGCCACCCACCTCCTGAATCTGCTTCTTCAGATCCTTCCTATCAGCCCAGGAACAGCTGTGAAACCTGCAGCAGCTCCGGGGAAAGCCTTTCTCCGCATAGTAGGCAGTGGTTTCCCAGTCTACAGCACTTTGGACACCACAGCAGTGTAACTGGAAAAGTCAATCAAGGGGGTTAGGGTTAACCCTGTATGCATTTCAGGGAATGTCCCATAATGCCTAGCATGAAAATGGACAATAATAGTTGGCAAATGGGACCGAGAGACGCATGGGGCTGAAATACAACAGGCTTCCAACACAGGCTCTAACTTATACTAGACCACACAATCAGTGATGCCTTCAAAGTGGCCCTACCCCTTCCAAAGTAACCTCAGGCCACAGCATGTTCTATGGCCGGTGAGCCTATGTGGGCAGCACCTAGGCCTCGATGTGAGGCAGGTACCCAGGTGAGCTTGGCCTCAACCCCCAAGGATGAAAGGAAAATAAGCTCTAAGGAAATGAAACCTCAGTTCTACAAAACAGCTCCCAACACTTCTGCTAACAGTGTTTCCACATTCTTTGTTCTATGAATGTTCTGTGGCTCTAAATGGCTTCGAGTGTAAATGCAGGAGTACTGAACAGGAGAGTGGGCTAGATGGCCTCTGGGGAGCTGCACAATTCTTCTGACGATGCCCAAGCCCAAGCTTCTCCCTGAAAACAACTCATCTTTTTAACACCAATATCTGCCTGGTGATATCGTGTGGCTGTGAGTCACAGGATCCGAATCTCTGAAGAATGAAAATAAGGATGATTCAGAGGGCAATGGAAAAATGCATGGTGGGCTGCAGAAGGCTGTGATACATCCCAAACAAGGAATTATAAAAGAGAAGTGGAGTCTAGAATAATCTCTAAAGAAATATATGAGTAAAAAAGATGTACCAGTGCAAAAAAAAAAAAAACTGGCAAAAGCCCTGCCAGAGAGCCCCTGGGTTCCACCAGTATCCTGGCAACACTGAGGAAAGGGAGGAAGGCAGGAAGGTGAGGCCCACATGCCTGACTCATGGCTGTATGGAGAAATCTGTATCACTGGGGGGGTGCCCCCATCAAGGAGCCCACCAATTCCCTCAAGCATCTGAGGAAGAGTGGGTACTTGAGCAAGGCTGGTTGAAGAAGAAAAGATAGGCGTGCTGCTGGGAGGGTGTGCGTGCATGGGGGAGGAGACTGCTAAGACAATTCTGGGCACAGGGTTTCAAACCCCCTTGACTTAACTGGACAGCTTCTTGAGGGTTTTTACAAACTTTGCCCAGCAGTTCTTGCCCTCTCCCCTCCCCCCAAGATAGCGCCTTATTGTTATTTGTCCCCCGTTCTCGAAGAGGACCAATGACATCAGCAGGGCAATGTCTTGGTTGCGCCTCATTACCAGCTGCCTATTTGACAGTGGTAGTCTCAGCACTCTGACTGCCTTGGCTAGAGAAATGGCAGCCCACTTCAACTCTTCCACTCCTCAGCCCCCCAAAGCCTTAACCCACCCCTTAGTGGCAACCACCCACTCAGAAAACAACCCCCTCACACCAGAGGCCCGATTACAAAGAAGCCTGTTTGGCTTACGCTCCTAGCCTATGGTGTGCTCCGAGAACAGGACCTTCTTCCCAGTCACCATACCATGAAGGTCCTCTCAGGGCAGAGAGGAAGAACACATTTAAGACAAAGCACCAACCGTAAACACTTACAGTTTTCTGGATGGTATCCACTGCCTCACTTCTTTGAATGGCTGTATCATTGTACTGCTTCAAGGAAGCCTCATAATTCATCTCGAAGCTGTTCCTAATCTACAGGAAGGGAAAAGGAAAGCCAGTGAACAAAACCTCAGAGAAACTGTTTTCATTGGAAGGCTTCCGTTTTCAACTGAGAGAGGAAGTGTACACCTGGACACAACCAATAGTTCACCCAGCTCAGTATTCTGTCTTTGACAGGGGCACCAAGAGGTGGCTTGTCAGACAGGAAGAGTCACCTTCCTCAGATGAACTTCCAAAGTTTAGGGATGCACCCCAACTTTCCCTAACCTGCCCTTAATATTGTTTGTGATACCAAAGAGAAGGTAATACCCCATTAAAATAAACCTTAGACCATGGATTGAGTCATATTATAGATCAAAACACGTGTCTGCCCTGTGAATGAGCTAAAGAGAGCTTGTTTCTGATAGCAATGTGGAAAGCCTATGAATGGACTAAATCCAAGAAATATTTTTTGAGAGAATCCTGTTTCAATGCTCCAGGCATGAACATTCCAACCAGGTTCTACTGTGTAAGAAAAGAACATGAGATTATAGATTGAGAGCTGGCAGAGAACCCAGAATTTATACCTAATAATCATAGGACCATAAAGTTAGAACTGGAAGGGAGGCCAGAGGTCATCTGGCTCACAGGATCATAGTCTTAACTCATCTCCTTAGTGGCAGACTACAAGCTAACCACCCACTCAGAAAATAAACCTCAAACCTTGGGCCAGATAACAATGGAGAGAGGTCCAGTTCCTTTTCTGTCCCATGGGGTGTGCTAGCTCCCCCTTTGACCCTCTGCTACGAGAAGAAATCAGGGACTTTCTGTCCCAAACACCACATCAAGAAGGCCCTCTCAGGGCAGAAAGGAAAAACCCTCCTTTCAGAGCCTTTCTATTCCTTGAGCATTAGGGCCAGAGGTTGGGAGCTAGAAAGGAGCTCTGAGATTATCTGGCTCATAGGAACTGATTTGGAGCTGCAATGGAATCTTGTGGGCATCTTCCCATCAGGTTATCCTGTTAGTAGATCACCAATGTACTTCCAAAAAAACCCTTTTATCATGTGACATTAGCTCCCAGACCTGATGGATAGAAACTAACATCATGCTTGAATCACCCAACCCACAGGTACCTACCGAACACCTAGCATGAGCTCATCAGGGAGCTGGGAGCCAAAGCATACAAAAATATCTAAGTAGAAACATGCCCTCTAGAAGCCTCCAATCCAGGCAGAAGAGGTGAAAAAGAGCACTGACTCTGGAGTCCAAGGCTGTCCCTCCCAATCTCACCTCCAAGGCTCACCACCTGTGTTACTTCCCTTTCCTGGGCCTTACCTTCCTCCTCTGTAAAATCAGGTTCCTTCCAGCTCAAGATCTCAGATCTTATGCCCCTAGACAATTCCACGCCTAGGCAACTCTTTCAAATTAAAAGCTCCCTTTTGGGACCCACGTCCTAACATTTCATGAGGAGAGTCATGACAACGAGGCCTATCCAGAAACTGAACGTGTTTATGGCTGGCCCTCATCTGAGTAGTACAGGGAAGGGAAGGGAATAAAGCATTTATATCGTACCTACTATGTCCAATGCACTGTGCCAAGCACTTTTTACAAATATTAACTCATTATCATCCCCATTTTAAAGTGGAGGAAACTGAGGCAGTTAAAAGTGAAGTCCCCTAGCTAGTAAGTGTCTTGGGCCCCATTTGAACTCAGGTCTTCTTGACTTCAAGCCCCAACCTCTGTGTGCTGTGGCAGCACTTAGTTGCTCCCTGGGGTGGGACTCACAAGGCAAACACATTTGATTCAAGTCCTCAAGCACTTATTAGGCACCTACTATGCTAGATGCTGGGGTTACAAAGACAAAAATGACAGTCCCTGCCCTCAGGAGCTTCCATTCTACTGGATAAAGTATCTAACACTAGAATGGATTCCCATTAAAAAGAAAAAAAAGTCAATCTAAAATCTAGCTACAGAAAAATCCAAAAAGTGTCACCCAGCAGAGAAGTGCCATACTTCATTTTTTAAACCTTCTTATATCAGTACACTTATAAACTGAGCTGTCCTCATTCAAAAATAAGGTCTATTAAACTCTCACTCAAATGACAAAAAGCCAAGATTATCAGCTGTTAAAATAAGTGGGAGCTCTTTTATAAAATAAGGGTCAGTTCAGCAGTATGGTACAGTGAAAAAAAGGAAAAAAAAAGCTGGATTCCAAGGCAGAGGACCTAGGTTCAAATCAGGGCTGTGCTGAGTGCTATATCACTGTGAAGGGCAGTTAGGGGGCACCATAGTAAAAAGAGAGCAAGGCCTAGAGTCAGGAAGACCTGATTCAAATCTGGCCTCATATACTTACTAGATGTATGACCCTGGGCAAGTCACTTAACCCTGTTTGCTCAGTTTCTTCATCTATAAAATGAGCTGGAGAAGGATATGGCAAACGATTTGAGTATCTTTGCCCACAAAAATCCCAAATGGGGTCATAAAGAGTGGGTCATGGCTGAAAAAGCGACGGAACAACATATCACTTGGAGACCCTGAGCAAGTCTACTTCTCTGGGGCTCAATTTCCTCTTCTGTAAGGTGAGAGAGTTGGACCAGAGGATCTTTAAAGTTATCCCTTCTGATTCTTGGTTTATGATTCTAGGATCCCTTAGCTACTTAAACTCTTAAGTTAAGACACAGTGACAGGGCCGATCATATGCTTAGCCATTCTACCAACTGGGGTCTGACCCTCAATGTTGCCATTTCAAAGTCATCCTTCTCAAGGACAAACTAGTTCATCCCAGGCCCTGGAGTCAGCCTTACCTCATGCCTAAAAACAAATCCTACAATAGCAGCCACCAACTCCACGAAGAAAATAAGGGTCAGGAACATGGCATACTGGAGAAAGGAAAAACCAAAAAGTCAAGTCAATACAAACTGGGAACATCTTGGAGTCAACAGCCTGTCAAGGAAACAAAGCTACATCAATCCATTTTCATCTTTGACAAACAAGGACGCAGGGGAAGGCAACAGGGAACACTGTGTGCATCTTGGAAGGTGAACTGGCTTCAGCTCATGAATTTGGAAGTTTGGCACACTGATAGACGTAAGGAACAGAAACTCATACTTGAATAGGAGATTGGAAAAGTTGTGACAAGATGAGAGGAAACTATCCTCCCCCGCCCTCCAATACAGGAAAAGGGAAAATGGTGGCTCAGTCCTCTAGCCAGGAAGAATAAATCCCCTTGACTACAAAAACAAGTACTCACCAGTTTCAGCATCCATGCTGAAGCCCGGCTGGTAGCAAAACAGCCGAAGGTGCCCAAGAGGATAATGATGGTTCCAGGACCAATAAGCACAAAAGGGACATTGGTGGCCTTCTCATTTAACAGTGAGAAATACACCTCCAGGCTTACCTTGCCCCATATGCCAACTGTAAGGAGGATCACACCTGTGAACTGATGAGAAATCAGAAAATTGAGAAACAGTTACCACGGGGCTCTCCTAAAATTCATTTCTCCCAAAGGTAGAGAAAAAACCGGGGCTCTGATGTGCCCCAGGCTAAGGAGGCAGCCAGGCTGGGACAGCAACAGGCTGAGCTGTTCCTCATTAGGCTAGGGAAGACAAGCAGTGCTCGACGGGTGGTGGTGCAGAGAAGGTATCTTCCTTGCCCCCCCCCCCCTTCCCCCAAAAGAAGCTTCCAACCTAGCAGCTGCAAGGAAGGCCCGACGTCTCTACACCGGCTTACCCTGGCTGGCCAGGCGGGCCCAGGTAGGCAGGGCACGCACGGCCCAGGAAACACCTGGGCAAGAAGGCACCTCATCAGACCCTCCATCCTCAGGTGTTCCAGAAACCAGAGCCCGGATGATATGGCCGGCTCCCCCTCCCCCAACAGATCCTCCCTCTGGGCAAGGGGGCCCTTCGTGCTCCGGCCCCCCGAAGGAGTTCAAGGCCTCGGGAGGCAGGTAGAGACGGCGGGGAGGGAGGGAGAGGCCTGTAGGGGTAAGGGGGGGGCGTAGTGCCCTCCTTGCCCCCCCCAATGACTGACTTACCTGCGGGAGCCGCTCCCTGCTTAGGAAGCACAGAAGAAAGAAAAGGAGAGATTACCTGGGCCAGCCAGGCAGCCCCCCCCCCCCCCCCCCTCCCCCTGGGGGGGGGGGGGGCGCCGCCCCCGGGAAGCCCGCCCCCCCCCCCCCCCCCCCGACGGGCCCTCTCCCCCCCTCACCCAAAAGATGAAGGTGTAGGTGAGCAACACGCTCTTCAGGCATGAGATGACCGGTTTGGTCTGCAGCCTCCTGGACGGGGACGCCATGGCCCGAGGGATTGTCGCCGCCGCCGCCGCCGCCGCCGCTGCTGCCGCCCCGGCTCCGACCCCGGCTCCGGCTCCGGCTCCGGCTCCGGCTCCGGCCGGCCCCCGGACTCTCCGGAAGGGAGCCAGGAAATGACAGGCGAGGACCCGCTGCAAGCAGCTCGGGCCAGCCCAGCCAAGCCGGAAAGTCCCGCCCAGCCTATGGACGCCCTCTACCGGTCACCGCGGAAATCATAGGCCCCGCCCTCTGACGCGCGGCCCCGCCCTCCGAGGCCCCGCCCCTCGTTCAGCGCCATCCAGGAGAGGCGAAAGGGACCTGGCAACAGAGGCAGGGTTCTGGGGACTGAACCTGGGCTTTCATTGGTGGAGGGAACTCCCAAGGCCAGTATACGCAGGGTGTCCCAAAAGTTTTGGTGCAGTTTTAAACTAGGAAAAAAAAAACTGTCACGTTATTGATTGGAAATCTACTCAGAGTCAATACTGAGATCGTCTAGCCCATCTTTTACTAGGATATTGGTGCTGATTTTATTCTAACTCAGTATGAAAAGGGTTTTTTTTTTTTATCCAAACCTCAATTATTTAGTTTTGGTCAATAAGAATTAGTCTTTCACCTGCTTCTTTCAAACGGTTTGGATACACCAGAACACCTTCCCCCCCCCCCCCGTTTCCTATCCACCGGGGCCCCTCATCATTCTCTTTCCAAGCCACAACTTTTTTCACTAACATTACTACTTTCGAAATATTTCGGGGCAGCTAGGTTGTCACAGTGGATAGAGCTCTGGCCTTGAAGTCAGGAGGACCTGAGTTCAAATTTGACCTCAGACACTTGATACTTACTAGCTGTGTGACCCTGGGCAAGTCACCTATCCCTAATTGCCTCACCAAACATATATATATATATATATATATATCAACAAGATAATGTGGTTATTTACCAAGTATTCCCATAACCCCCTGACAAACCTCTTGTACCCCTGGGAGATATCAGGATAATTCACACCCCAAGTTGGGGACCCCTAGCCTAGTCTAATGGAAATAGCTCAGAGTTGCCACTGGACATCCCAGATTCCTTGTGACTCAAATGTCAGCGCTACATCTGACCTTAGAGATCACCCAGTCCAATCTACTTGACAAATAAGAAAGCCAAGGTCCAAAGACACAAAGGGATAGCTTAGGGTCACATAGCTAGTGAGCAACAAAGCTGGACTTCACACTCAGACCCTGTACCTCCAAATCCAGTCCCTTGCTACTTATTCTATCCCTTACAGCTTTGGTGTAAGCATTTCATATAACATCTCATTTGAGACTCATACGAAAGACTACAAGTATCTTGTACAAGTCACTGTTTTACAGGTGAGGAAATTGAGGCTCAGAAATGTCGCATTCCCCTTATAGAATGTAAACTTTATTTTGTATTCCTTTTATATCTAACAGTAAGTGGCACAGCTAGGCATTTAACAAATGCTTGTTGATTGATTAATTAATTAATTGTTCTCTTTGTCACTGATTTACTCTGGGATGTTTAGTGAATTCCCTGGAGCCTGGCTTCTCTCTGAGCAAACTGAGGGTAGCAAAGTCTTCCAACCTCCACTTGCACTAGCAGGTGGGGTGCCCAGATGACAGTTAGAATTTCTCCCCTCAGGCTTCTAAGAGTAGCTCTGAGAGGTTTGGCCTTGTCTTTCTAAGCCCTGACTAGTGTGTTTCTCCCTATGATTATTGATTGATGTCGATGAGCCAGCCAGACTTAATTAGCTTTTGGAAAAGAGTATTTGCTATAGTAGAAAAGCTGGTACAAGACATTTTCCCAAAAAGTCTGTGACATACTCTCCTACAAAGAAGTACAAAGTCCAAGGGAAAGTGGGCTTGAGCTTAGAGCACGTGTGGCGGAGGGCTTAACTCCCAGATCCTGGAAGTCCTTTCGTTGGGGACCCCAAGATGTTTCCGTTAGGTATCATGGAACCTTTCTGCTGTACTCCTTGTAGTGCCTTAAATCTCCCTTTCCTTATCAGTTCTAGTCTGTTTTGGGCTCCCAATGCAGACAATGATGCTAGCGGCTAGGATGCCAATGGGAAGTCTCAAATCCTCCAAGCCCTTTGAAACTCACAAAGTCCTCTTCCACACAAGAGAGGCACTGGAGTGCAGTGGAGGAGGGGAGAAGACCAAGACTCAGGCCCAGGATGATCCCCCTCCCCCAAACCCAAGCAATTCCTTCTCAGGGGCTTAACTAAAAGGCTTCTACTCAAATCTCCTGGGTTCCCAACTGGTCTGTTATTTTATACAAAACCCACAGGGCATGACCAGCCTCTTCAGTCCATCAGAACACACTTCCTCAATGGCCGCATTTCACCTCATCTAATGGCTTTCAAAAACTTCTCAATTGATCAAGGACTTTTCATACTTAGTCTAAAGCCCATGATTGATTTATTGATTACGATTCACAACTAGTTCATACCACTAATTGATTATTTTTCATCTGACAAAGGTATGAGGGCCAGTATTTTGTCACTTACTTTAAGTGGAGTGGGGTAATTGTTTGATTGACTAAATCAACCCCCATCTTTACATGAAGATAATGACCCATAGGATTACTGTGAAGATGCAGGTTCATATGGGGTCTTCGGCTGCTATATAAAAGGTTCCTAAATGGCTTTGGTACAACCTGAGAAAATCATTTGGTGAAGAACAAGATCCCTTTCCAAGGGAAAGGGACCTTTTGAAGGCCTGGTTTAATTTCAGAATTTTCCCTCACCCCTACCCCCACCCATAGTCAATCTGACCTTGGCCCTTGCTTTTAAGTAACAGACTTAAGAGGAGAAGAGGGTTGAGATGCCAGGAAAAGGGGGCATGGAGCTTCTCTCATGCTTAGCTTGGAAAGCCTTTCCCTCAAATACGGAAAGTTAGGCTGAAGTGAGTTTGAGGGAAATGTCTCTGATCACATATGACCCTGGCTGCCCCTTCTTTCACTGGGGAGCCCTTAGTAGCTGTTGAAATAGTTGCAAGTTGGACTTAGAAGATAAGATTTTCTATTATTACAAAAACAGAGTGGCATAGTAGATACAGCATTGTTAAAAGAGCTGGGTTCAAATTCTGTGGTTGTTGTTCAGTCATTCCAGTCGTGTCTGACTCTTTGTAACCCCAGTTGGGGTTTTCTTGGCAGAGATACTGGAATGGTTTGCCATTTCCTTCTCTAGCTCATTTTACAGATGAGAAACTGAGGCAAATAGGGTTAATTGACTTGCCTGGGGTCACACAGCTAGGAAGTGTCTGAGGTCAGATATGAAGAGGAGTCTTCCTGACTCCAGGCCCAGTGCTCTATCCAGTGCACCCCCTAGCTATTTCTGACATTTACCAGCCATGGGTCCATGAGTCTCTGACTCTCAGTTTCCTCATCTATAAAATAGAGATAATAATACCTCTAGGACCTATCTCATAAAAGGATTATGAGGCTCAAATGCTACAGTGTCTGAAAGGCTCTTTGCAAACTCCAGGTTTACCAGCTGCCCATTTGAGCGCTCCTGGATCTCCTTTTCAGAATGGGCACCTATCTCCCACATCCTAGGCTACCTTCTTGCCTTTCTCTGTAACTTTTCCTCGCTGGTCTCCTCCACCCATGCAAGTTCAGTGACTCCCAAATCAGTATCTCAGCTGCCAATGTCTCTGCCAGATTCTAGTTCAGCTTCTCTGACTGCCCGATGAACAGACATCTCCTCCTGGATGGTCCATTTGCATGTGAGACTCAGTGGGCACAGTGGAAAGAGCACTAGAGTAGGAATTGGAGGATCCAAATTCAAATCCTGCTTACTACTCCCACTTACTACTTAGGAGACCACTTGGGCAAGTCACTTAGCCCTCCTTGGTCTGTCTCCACAACGGTGAAATGAAAGTCGGCCCAGATGAGCTCTGAGGTCCCTTCCAGCTCTAAATCTATGACTCTTGGTCCAGAATAGAACCTGTCTTCTGTCATCCCTGCCAACCCCTCACCTCCTCCATGTTTCCCTGGTTCTGTCGAGGTACCAACCATCCTGCAGGTCACCTAGGTCGGTTGGCTCTGAGTCACTTTTGATTTCTTCCTCTTCCCCACCTCCCCTATCAGTCGCCAACTCCTATCCACAAGATCTCTGAAATCCAACCCCTTCTCTCCGCTCACATAACCACCATTATAGTTCCAACCCTCAGTCTCTGTTCCCTGGATTATTACATCTGTCTCCTAATAGGTGCTTAATAAAGGTTTGTTGAATTAATATGAAAGAATGCCATTTCTTTGTGTTGTTCTTACGTCATCATGCATTTGTGACTTGCTTCCTCAACTAAAACTACTGAAATGTAAACTCTTTGATGGCCAAGACCTGCCCTCAAGGAGTTTTCATTCTAGTGGAGTCAGAGAGAATCTCACTCCTGGATGGGCCTACAACCCAGGGTGGTCCCATAAAAATATTCACTAATACTGCTACTTTTTTTTTTAATTTTTAGGCAATTGGGGTTAAGTGACTTGCCCAGAGTCACACAGATAGTAAGTGTCAAGTGTTTGGTCTGAGACCAGATTTGAACTCAGGTCCTCCCGACCCCAAGGTCGGTGCTCTATCCACTGCGACACCTAGCTGCCCCATACTGCTACTTTTGACAATACTCTTTGTGGCAGCAAAACCAAAAAACAAAACAGGAGCCCACTGATTAGGGAAATGACTAAATGGACTGTGGCCTATGGATGTAGTTGAATATTAGTGCATTGTTAGTGACAATGAATATGAAAAATTCAGGGAAACCCAGGAAGATTTATATGAACTGACACAGAGTGAAGCAAGCAGAACATGAGGACAACATACACAATAGCAACAATAACGTAAAGGAAAAGAATCCTAAAAACCACTGGAACTCAAATCATCAATACAAGGACCAAATTTGACTCTAGAAGACTGATGATGAAACACATTTCACTACTCTGGCAGAGAGGTGGTAGGATACAGGGGCAGAATGAGGCATACGCTGTCAGACATGGTCAATGGTTCAGTTTATTTTGTTTAACTATAATAGTAATAATAATA